CCTGAAAATATCAGGTCCCCAACCGATGGGAAAACAAGCTAAAAAAGTTAAAAAAAGGAAAAAAAACAAGTGAAATTCATTAAAAAAAGATGATTTTGGGTGGATTTTGGTAGATTTTGGAAGAAAAAAAGCAAAAAAATGTGAAAAAAGGTGATTTCCCCGGAACTCCCCGGAACTCCCCGGACCTCCCCGGACCTCCCCGGAACTCCCCGGAACTCCCCGGACCCGAAATGTCAGTCAGGCTTTTTCGGTTCCCGACGGCCTATTTCAGGGCATGTTTTGGCTTTTTCTGACTGATTTTACAAATTTAGGCTTTTCGCTGAATTTACACCTTCCTAATGTTCCATAATATCAATACCATGTCCGTTGGCCCCAAAATCGCAAAGTCTGGAGGGTTTTGTCTGTGAGTGCTCCAAATGAGGGTTCCAGAGAGGCTCTTGGGGCTTAGGCAGACGACTGAGTAACACATGTGATCCTATGAGGGCTTCGACTGATTTTAGGAGCGTTTCTGTCGTGCAGTAGGGCCAGGCCAGATGCGGGCCTCCCCCTTCCCAAGTTCTGATGCGTGAGGAGCTCTCAACGAATGCGAGCCTTCAATCGAAGCTCTCATGACTGTGAAGTCCTGCCCTCAGTTATTCGCTGCATTGAGGCCCAATTTTTTGAGGAGTGTTGCAGGCGGCCTACTTTCTCTACTATGCAGGGCACTCCGCCGCCGCGCATGGAGGGCCCCAAGGATTTCAATGAGATCTGGAAGTGGCCAGCTGACGTCAATGATAAGCTCTTGGGTGATCAGCCTATGTCCGAAAGGTACACCAGCAACATGAAGGAAGGCGTGATCTTTCGGCTCCATTACGCTGGCTGCCTCACCGAGACCGTCGGCATGAATTATGTGGCTGATGATCTGAGGAAGCGCGGCGTGGGCCCCATCGACGTGAGGACGGTCCACTCCTGCGATGTCGCCAACGGCCCCCAGAAGGTGTTCCACAATATGCCAGAAGAATCGCGCCCAGTACATGGCTTCGCAGACATAGAGGATTTACTACCAATGAATGTGCGTATGGAGCTTGACGGCATGCAACCAGATTTTCGCGAGTGGACATCTGCGAGGACTGATGTGGACAAGAGCATCGTGAAGGAGAAGCACATGCAGGCCTACATGACGATGGCAACATATCTGAAGAGGCAGGTGGAGAGGGGCGTCTTCAAAGGAAACAAGGCCAAGTGCATTCGTCATGACACGTTGTGTTCGGCATCTTCTTGGGAACCAGACTCTATGTTCACGAAGGCGCTCAAGATTGAATCGGCTGGATCCACTTGCGTCGCATGGAGCGACGCGGGTGAGCACACGGGGTATGCGCACCCATCAATGCGCACCATGTTGGTCTGGGCCGCGCTCGTGCTGAACACTATGCCAGACGTCATCGCCCACGAGTGCGTCAAATCATTCCCCATTTGGGTGCTGGAATCTTTCTTTGGTCGTGACTACAACATGCACACGTTCGAGAACATGAGCCCTGTGAGCAGGGGACTGCCGAGTAGCCGGGAGAGGCGGTACACTTTCTTCTTCAAGAAGGGGGCCGTGCTTTTCTTGGGGTCTTCTCAGGACTTCGAGGTGATGTTCGACAAGGACTGCGTGCTTCCAGGATCTGTATACTTCAACGACACTGAGGAGAACGTCAAGCACGAGTTCATGGAGCTTGGAGTCAGGCGCAAGGTGAACCCGTCTTGCATGAGTCACAAGATGGATTGGAAGGAGCTCTACCCGCCAGGGGCTGTCGCACGCCTCGACGCCACAGTGAAGTCCTATCGGAGCGATACTGGGGCCAGTGAAGACATCGTCGTCGATGTGGACAGGATCTGCGTCTCGGGTTATCACTTCCCGTCCCTGGTGACGCATGGGATTTGGTATTCCACGAAGCTCAAGAGGCACATGACCCCCAGGGAGACCTTGTGCGTAGCAGGAATCCCTGCAGTCCCCGCCGCCATGGATATCTTGGACCTCCCTTGGAAGAAAGCTTTCGACGCTCTGACGGCTGCTGAGACGAGGATCCTTGCTGGCAATACCATGCACATGGTGGCCGCAACGCAGCTGATGGCGTACGTGATCGCTAACACGCTGAAGCTCGCGCCACTGCCGCGCAGCGGCACCCTTGACTTCGACGAGATCCAGCCCGACTCCCAGGTCATCGATATCGAGGACGACAGCCAGGTCGCAGACATCGGACTTGCGAACATCCAGTTCGAGGGTACAGGCGTCACCAGCCTGGACTCCTGTGGGCCCTCCTCTTCGAAGAGGCGCAGGCTGGGCCGCCCGTCGTGATGATGTTCTTAGGCCCAGGCTGTGCGACCATCAATCTTTGACAAATAGCCTGCCCTCTTCAAAACAAATTCATCTCAGGGAGGATGTCCCAACCTCCGAGCGTCACTGCACACTGCAGTTACGGATAAGAGCGAGGGGGAGGAGGAAGGGTGGGGGATACGTGGGGCCCGCGGCCTCAGAGGGAGGAGAACGAGCAGCCCCCTGGCGCACATCGCTTCAAGGATTTGATCTAACTTGGTGGGCCTCGTGAGGCCCCATCTCCTCTGAGCCGATCTTCTAAAGGCTCTGTAAGACCGTTCGGCCACGATTGCAGAGGATGGGTTCCTGCGTTATCCAGGATACATGTGAGGCCGACGCGCCTACGAGGCGAGTGAACCAACACCACTCTGACAGATCTAGCACACACACACTAGTTCTTGGCATAGTCGTATATCTATGTCACATATAAACATATTCACCCATGCAAGATGGTGTCACGTAAGTTTACAAGATGCTGTTACGTGAAAAGCACGAAAGCACGAATGAGGAAGGGACTTGGGACGGGAACGTATTCGTGAGCATCCCGAGGGCCCAGACAACGCTCACGTTTTCAGATGTCCTAGATTCTAGAGCTGTCGATTCGATTGCTTGCGCTGCTGTTGCAGCAATCTGAGGGGTCCGAAGGTGCATTGCAACATCGCTGTTGCGCCATTGGTCTACTCCCACTCCTCCTCCTCCTCCTCCTCCTCCTCCTCCTCCTCATCCGCCAATGTTGGCGGATTCCAGCCGGATTTCGAGCAGAAGTCCGCCGGGGATTTTGGCCTGACGTGGCCTCCTCATCCGCCAATGCCGTGCCGTGTCGCGCATATGGTGATGAGACGCTCCCGTGTTACGGTTATGCGTCGTGCTTTAAATGCGATGTTGTGCCGTGCGGTGTGAATCCAGTATGGGTCGTTCCTCGCTTAGAGCAGGATCGTGAACTCACTCTGCCGTTGCGAGCGTTTTGTCTCAAGTTGTTTTTTTTTGAGATTGGGAGGCGACTCGGCACTTGAGAGTACGTATCACCCTTTGTTCCTGGGGTATGGCGCCCAAGAAGAAGAAGGGATCAGTTGCGAAGGCATCAGCCTCAGCTGCTAAGGCGATCGCAAGGCCTGGGCAGCAGAGCCTGCGACACTTTTCGACACCGTCGGCCGCGGCTGCGGCTGCCAGGACCAGGCCGCCCGCGGCGGACCAGCCTTTCCCTGTCCTGGATGAGGATCAGGCCGCGTTGGAGGGGCAGGCCGCGGCAGCCACAGCAGGGACGGCTGCCGCGGCGGAGCTGGCGGCCGCGGAGGCCCCGTCGGCCCAGGAGGAGGCTGCGGCGCCTGAGGTAGCCGAGGTTCCAGACCTTGAGCTTGACCGAGCCTCCACGCCCACGCCGAGGTCGGAGCAGCCAGCTGCGGCGCCAGGGTCGCCAGCGCCAGCAGGCTCTGACTCCGAGTCCGTGGGCGAGGAGGCTGCCGAGGTGTCCGAAGTACGAATGCATGATCCCAGCAGCGTCTCAGCCCCCGCCCCATGATGAACATGGAACAACTCAGGGGGGTTCGACTAGTTGTTCCCTACTAGAAGGGTTCTTACTCTATATCTTAAAGGGGCCGGGCAGTGTTGCCCGCCATGGGCGGTTCCCCTGGGCCCCAGTGGCGGCCCCAGTCCCCTGGGGGCGGTTCTCCCAGTCTCCTGGGAGCTTCAGTGTTAGCTTTAGCATTAGCTTTAGCTTAGCTTTAGCTTAGCTTTAGCTTCAGCTTAGCTTCAGCTTAGCTTTAGCTTAGCTTTAGCTTAGCTTTAGCTTAGCTGTAGCTTCGATTTAGCTTAGCTTAGCTTTAGCTTTGCTTTAGCTTAACTAGCTTTAGCTTAGCTGCAGCTTAGCGTTAGCTTAGCTTTAGCTTAGCGTAGCTTTACCTTAGCTTAGCTTTAGCGTAGCTTTAGCTTAGCTTAGCTTTACCTTAGCTTTACCTTAGCGTTACCTTAGCTGCACCTTAGCTTTAGCTCAGCTTTAACTTAGCTTTAGCTTAGCTCTAGCTTGGCTCAATACTATGTTTAGCTTAGCTTTAGCTTAGCTTTAGCTTAGCTTGAACTTGGCTTTAGCTTAACTTTAGTTCAGTTTTAGCTTAGCTTTAGCTTAGCTTCAGCTTAGCTTTAGCGTTGGCTTAGCTTTACTGTTACTTCTAATGCTGCTTTCCTAGAGGCTCCAACTCCTAGGTAGGGTCGCACTGGGATGATTTGATGTTCACCTAGCAGTCCTGGCCCAGCGAGGTGACGCTTGCTGGGGGAACGCCGCCGCTGGACAGTGCGTCCCGCCTGCTGGAGGATCCGAGGTCCGTCTGCAAATCGTCCGATGGGCAAATTCGTGTTGGAGTGAAAAGCCCCGTGCGTGTGAGGCTGTGCGCGTTAACTGTTCTGTTGACATGTCCAGGGGTTTTGATGAGTTGGTTTTGATTTTGAGTTTGGGCGTTGTGGAGTTTGATTTTGAAGAGTTTGGTTTGAGGAGTTGGGGTGTGGGGATCTTGTTCCGCCTGCACAGTGCGGACATTGCGGGCCGCTCCCATCCCCAGGAAAGGATTTGCGTAGATAAGTTTGAACAGATTTCGGATCGGATTCACCTCGTTCTCACCCGTCCCCTTTTTTCACGCCCCGCATGAGTCGCGAGGGCGCTCCGACCGAGGGCGCCTGCAACGAGCCACAGCAGGGGAGGCCGCCTCAGCCGCTGCCAGAGGAGCTTGAGGCAGCCGCAGATGCGGCAGAGGAGGCGGCGCCAGTGCCGCCAGAGGAGGAGCCTTCGGCGTCCGCAGAGGTTGCCGCAGAGGCGGCAGAGGATGAGCCAGGCGATGGCGAGTCGTGGGCACGGGCTGAGTCAGTAAAGAAGGAGGCTCGTGGAGCAGTGGATTCATTGTTAGAGGACTTGGACCTACATGATGTCCTTGTAGGCGGGGGACTCCACCAGACTGGTGACTGTGTCGGCGCCAGCCCCAGCCCGGCGCCCAGCCCCACAGCTGGCCGCAGTGACAGGGTGGATGCTGCGCCGCCCCCGCCCCCGCCGCCAGCGCCGCACCCTGAATCTGAGCCTCGCAAAGACATGAAGCGGAAGGGGTCTCGGAGGCCTTGCCCCGTGTGCAATGAGGTGCATGATAAGATGCCAGCAAATTCGCCATACTGCTACAACCACAAGGAGATAGTGGAGTTCGCATGGCACCAAGCCTCCAATCTACCGACAGCACAGGAGCGGGAACAAGCAAAGCAATACTTCATGCACTGCAGGGACAAGGACCCCGTCAAGTTCACGCAGCTGATCCTTGATGCGGAACAGCATGCTGGGGAGAGGCGTGGGCGAGGTTTCAAGCGTAAGTGGTTGGATTGGTCCCAGTACACTGAAAGGACGGCAGTGAAGAAGGAGGTAGAGGACGCTGGCAAGCTCAAGTGGTGTGATTACGTCGACTGGACTTACTACTACACGGTCAAGCGGATGAAGCCTAGAAGCGCGTCTGATGAAGAATGGAAGGAAGCTATTGAAAAAACCAAGGGGACAGAATGGCAGAGGGGCACTGGCGACACTGTTGAGATTCTTGTGAAGAAGGGTGATTACGTTTCCTACAAGCAGGCGCTGTCTCTTACCCAGGAATGGGCGACAGGGGAAAAGCAGAAGAAGAATCCTACGGAGGCCGACTACAAGAAAGCCATGGAGAAGATCAAGACAGGCCACGCGTCCTTCAGCGACTCTATCTTCAAAGGGTTAACTGGCAGTGCCGCTGCTGCAAGTGCTGCGCCTCACGGGGATCATCATGTCGGTAGCGGCGGCTTCGTTGAACTTGGTGCTGACGACGGCGAGCCGAAAAAGCAGAGGAAGCAGAAGCATGAGCCTGTGCCGCTATCCGCTGAAGGAGGAGGTCCATCGTCTAAAAAGAAGGGCGTGATCCTGGGTTCGCAGCAGCTGAAGGCGCAAGGTTCGCTGAAGAATTCCCTCGACGCCGAGCTCGCTCACTGGGCGGGGAGTGGCGCGAATGCCGCCGTTCCCGACCTGGTTGAACAAGGAATCCGCGACTCCAAGCATAAGATCAAGGATGATGCTATTCACAGTGAGGTATGTGAGGGCCACTTGTTCAGTTTGAAAATCCGCCTCGACGTGTTGAAAGCGATCCACGTCGCTGATCTGCAGAATGTGATTCGGGGCTTCGATAACAAGTCCAAGGCGCAGCTCCCCGTCCCGGTGGACAGGTTGGCAGACGTGAAGGACATCAAGTCCAGGATCGCAGGGATGATGGAGACTGAGACCAAGGAGGCCTTGAAGACTTCAGAGGCGAGCATCCAGCAACTGATCAACTACATCTCGCAGGTCCGCTCGGCCGTGATGGTTGGCATCAAAGACTTGGGTACAGCTGTGACTCAGTATTACAAGCGGATTGAAAGAGAGGAGAAGACTGCGCAGGCTCAGAAGGAGAGGGCAGCGAAGGCAGCAGCGAAAAAGGCTGCAAAGGAGGCTGGGAAAAAAATCGACGCCAACGGCCCCAACTGCAGATGAGCCTCGCAGCATCTTCGACACGTGTTGGGAGTTGATCGGTCAGGAGATTACGAAGTACACAGACATGGCAGACTTTGCGCAGAAAGGAAACGACGGCCGCGATCCCTACATCATTGCCAATGCTGACAAGATTAAGTCGTACATCGAGCAGGCTGGGAACATCAAGGCTGGGATGGCCTCGTTCACTGCCGCATTCACGGACTCGGCTCAAGCAACGATCACTGGCCGGGCGTCCTGCCCACTGAATGCTTCGTCTGGCGCGGTGTCCAGCTTGAAATCGATGATGCGACAGTGCGCTCCGCGTACACCCGAGACCTTGTTGGTCGAGGATAAGATTCCGACGCTGGGCACGAGCTTCAGCGGGGCGTTGGACACGCATCGCAGTGCCTACTTCGAACACCTTGGGCTTGGATCGATTCGCTACGGCATCAGCGGCACCCGGGACCTTGTGATATTCAAGTACGACTCCCTGGCCCACGCCTTTCCCGGGGAGGGCCCTTTCAACATGTTGAAGCAGCTTTGCCAGGTTCCTTGAATACCTAAATCTGTCTATCGACTCCGACTGCGAGTATACAACACGACCTAATAGTTTTTTTTGCGGGGAGGGTAACTGATGATCCAGGGTTAGAGGAGGGAGAAGGAGGTCGAGGAGGATGAGAAGGCAGAATGAGGCACTGCAAGGGCCCTTTGAGGCCCAGCCCCAAACGGTTTCCCATCGCGTCCTTCGTTGTGGCGCCTTTGCTTTAGCTTCGGAGCTCTCGGAGGTGCCCGTCGAGAAAGTGAAGCCCATCCTGGAGCTGGGTGTTTTCGTGCGGGTCCCTCCTGGGTCATTGTTGGTGGTGCCACCTGCTCACATCATTCTGGAGGAGGGCTACAAGAAGCAGCAGACCATCGGATTGCGTGTGAGCTTCATGGACTTGCGTCAGAAAAACATTTACAGTAAATTCATTGCGTGCATCCAGGAGAGTGACCCAAAGTTCGCCCAGCTCCCAACGATGACCAAGGTGGTCAAAGCCCTCGATGGGCTTGCGAAGTTGTCGAGTGAGTCTGCGGGGAGCCGCGATGGCTGCCCGATGGCCTCAGCGGTGCAGCCTCCGTCCTGAGTTGCTTGAGGGATGAGTTTTTGTGTTTGGGTGGCGGTGGGCCGCCGCGGGATCGCACTCGGTAGGCTGAGTGCGCAATGCAGTTTGACAAGTTACGTTCTGATGATCGTGTCGGCAGCCAGAGACTATTCAAAAACATGAGAAGGTTTGAGCACGGAATATGTCAGATGTTCTAAGGACCTAGGAATCGAGGAATCGAAGGACGGGGATTGTGGAGTGTTGGTGTTGAAGATTGGCCACGCCTTCTTCCTTCCTCCTCCTCCCCCTCCTCCTCCTCCTCCCCCTCCTCCTCCTCCTGCTCCTCCTCCTCATCCTCTTCCTCCTCCTCCTCCTCCTCCTCCTCCTCCTCCCGCCCTGCAGCCGCCAGAAGATGTATGAGCCTAAATTGGCTCGCGATTTTTGTTACTTGTCTTCGTCATGTACTTAGTTACGGCCCCTCCTCATTTTTTTTCGGGACCAGGTGAAAATCCATGGCGAAAAACTTGTTCCTGGGAAGGGCGTCGACGTCGTCGAATCGTCTTTGTCGCCGCCGCCGCCTTCGCCATCGTGTCGGCGCCGCGCCGCCGGGGCCGGGTCGGGCCGACCGTGGGCCGTGAGCCCGTGGGCCACGTGGGCGTCGCCACGGAGTCGCCCAGGCCGGAGAGGAGGCCAGGGGCCGCGGGAGGATGGCGGCTTGGCGACGACGAGAACGACGACGATGCTGACGGTGGCGGCGGGGTCGGACGGACGACGCTGACGGTGGAGTAGACCTAGTTAAGACCGCCAATGTTTAGACCTAGTCGCCTCGACCGAACAGACCTAGTCGCCTCGATGGGTCGGACGGTCGCCTCGACCGCCAATGTTTAGACCTAGTCGCCTATGCAGCTGGTGGAAGCTATGTGGTGTAACCTGTTGGTAGCTACGGGATGTACGCTATGTGATGCAAGCAGTGTATGCTGGCTTTCCTGCCAGAGCTTCTCGGCTATATATGGCTATCTTATGTAAGCTTACCTGGATGGGGTAATAATCGCCCGTCTTTGATCCACCAGGGGGTTTGACACGTGCCCTTGGAAGGGGTGGAGGAGAGGCTGGAGGAGGAGGAGGAGGAGGTGGTGGAAGGAGAAAGAGAAGGGGGAGGAGGAGGAGGAGAAAAGGGGGGGGTGAGGAAGCTCCGTCGGAAGATTAATCACCCCTCTTCGAAAATCATGCTATCCAGAGTACGCGATGTAAACCCAACGAGAAAATTCGTAAACGTTTCGCTCAGCTTGTGCTGATCTATGCGTGTAACGCGTGGATCAACACGTTCTGAATCAGATGCGCGGTCGGGGGCGTTCGCCCTCCACGTAGATGAGCATGCACTCTGCGGCGCCCCTGGCCAGTGCGGCAGGCTTCCCAGGGAAACTACTCAGTCTGGTAGGTAGTCACTAGAGTCTGACGCCCACATCATCATCGGCGGCGTGTCTCCACCGAGTGGAGATGATCCCGATCTCGGCGACTGTGCTTATGCTCGGGCTTCCCAGGTGGCCGAGAGGTTATTACTGACACCCAGATATCGAGAACAGGGGATTGTGGAGCCCCTCGGGGTTCCAGAGCGCGCCCGCGAGGCTTTCACACTGAGTTCGCGCGTGCGTCTTTCAGTGGTGTGCGTACTCTGTGGCGTCCTCCTCTCCTTCCGCCTCCTCTCCTCCTCCTCCTCCTCCTCCTCCTCCTCCTCCTCCTTTTTTTTCTTCTCCCTCTCTCTCTCTCTCTCCCCCCTCCCCCCTCATTTTTTTTTTGGGGGGGGGTGGTGGGGGGGGGTGGGGGTGGCGGCATAAAAAAGGAATGCGACGTGACCTCATCTACCCTGCCCCCTAGAAGGATTCCAGTTGAACGTCCCCACAAGAAGGATTCATAGTGAAATCATCTACAGAAGGGTTCCTATCGAAACCCTCCACTGAATGATTCCTATTGAAATCCTCCACATATGGATTCCTATTGAAAACACCCGCAGAAGGATTGATATTGAGATGCTTCGAAAGAAAGACCCCCCCGTTGGCATTGCATTGGCCTTGGTTTGGCAATGGTTTGGCATCGCATTGGCATTGCGCTTGGCAGTGCGTTGCTAGTGTGCTTGCATTTCGCAAGCATTGCGCTGGCGAGTCCTAATGGAACCCTCCACAGAAGGACTCCGATCGACACCTTTACAAGAAGGACTCCTATTAAAACCCTCCACAAAAACGGTTCATATTGACACCCTCCACAGAAGGATTCCATGCGAAACCCTCCGCAAAAAGGATTCCTATTGAAATTGTTGACGCTTCGCGTATCCCCACCAGCCCATCCAGAAACGATGCTCAGGGGAGTTGAGGTGATCAGGGAAGTCGGGGAGCATGCAGAATAACAAAGGGCGGGGGAAGCTGTCACAGACCCCGAGAGGGGGAGGATGGAAGAGGAGTCGTCGTCGTCGTCGTCGTCGTCGTCGAGGAGGAGGAGGAGGAGGAGGGGGAAGAGGAGGAGGAGGAGGAGGAGGAGGAGGACGGAGAAGGAGGAAGAATCGGAGGAGGAGGAGGAGGAGGGGAAGGAGCTTCTTGGGGGTCTTTTGAGGGCCTCTTGGAGGGCTTTTTGGGCGCCTTGGGGCATCTTGGGCGCCTCTTGGGACCCTCTTGAGGCGCTCTGGGGAGCCTTCGGGGCGCTTTTGGGGCCATCTTGGAGGGAGTCGATCAAACAAGAGGGGGGGTTTAATTAGCGCCCCCCCTCGGAAGCCCCTAAAATCGCCTCTTGGACCCCTCTTGGAACGCTCTTGGAGTGCTCTTGGGCGCTCTTGGGGCCGTCTTGGGGCTCTTTTGGGGCTCTCTTGGGGCCCTCTTGGGCCATCTTGGAGCCATCTCCAGGCCTCGGATGGCCATCGGAAGCGAAAAGGCGAGAAAGCAAAAATCATTGATTTTCCTTAGGTTTTGGGACGATTTTGGCCTCTTCGGGGCCTCCTTGGGGAGCTGTTTGGCCACTTGGAGTTATCTTGGGGCCGTCTTTGGGCTTCTTGGAACCATCTTAGGAGCCATCGTGAGCGATCTTGCGCTATCTTGAGCCATCTTGGAGCTCATCTTGGGTTCTCTGAGGCGCTCTTGGAGCCGTCTTGGGCCATCTTGGACGCTCTAACTACCCGCGGCCCCCCCCGTCCAGGTCCAGGGGAGGGGGTAGGGGGAGGGGTAAACCCCTCCCCAAGGGGGAAGAGGGAGGGGTGGAAGAGGATCTGCTCTAGACCACCTACGCCCAGAGGGCTGGTGGGATTTACCACAAAGGAGTTCCCCCCATTGGCAGTGCATTGGCATTGGGTTGGGATCGCTTTGGCACTGGTGTGGCATTGCGTTGGCGCTGCGTTGGCATTGCGCTGGCATTGCGCTGGCGAGTTCCAACACCTCCCTTCGCATAATGATTCCTGTTGAACCCCCCACAAAAAGAATTCCGATTGAAGCATCCCACAAGAAGGGTTCACACCGAACCCCCTCACGGAAGGACTCCATTCGAAGCCTTCCATAGAAGGATTCTTCTTGAACCCGACCAAAAACGATTTCCCCCATTGGCATTGCATTGGCATTGCATTGGGATCGCTTTGGCATTGGCTTGGCATTGCGTTGGTATTTCGTTGGCATTGCGCTGGCGAGTTCTAATACCCCCCCCACACAAAAGTATTCCTATGACAACCTTGCACAAGAAGGGATCCTTTTGAACGCACCCACATGAAGGATTCAAAGTAACCCCCCCCACAGAAAGATCCCAATCGAAACCCTCCACGGGAGGATTCCTATTGAAATCCGCCGAAGAAGGATTCGCAACCAAATCATCCACATAAGGATCTCTAGTGACATCTGTTGGAAGACAGGAATCCCGCCATCGGCATTGCATTGGCATTGGTTTGACAACGGTTTGGGATCGCATTGGCATTGCGTTGGCATTGCGATGGCAGTGCGTTAGCAGTGCGTTGGCATTGCGTTGACATTGCGCTGGCGAGTCCTACTCAAACACTTCACAGAAGGATTCCTATTGAACACCCCCACAAAAAGGATGCCTATTGAATCCCCCCCACACGAAGGATTCGAATTGAAATCTTCAACAGAAGGGTCCTTTGCGTCCCTCCATAGAAGGTTTCCTGTTGAAATCCCCCGAATAAGGGTTTTTAGAAGGATTGCTATTGAAATCTACCACAAACAATTCCCCCCATTGGCATTCCATTGGCATTGGTTTGGCATTGCGTTGGCACTGCTTCGGCATGGCGCTGGCGAGTTCGAACGGCTCCCACCACAGAAGGATTCCTTACCTTCCACAAGAACGGATCCTTTTGAAAGCTCCCTTTCATAAAAGATTCATGCTGAACCCCCCACGGAAGGATTCCAATCGAAACCTTCCACAGGTGGGATCCGTTCTGGAATCTACCACAAAGGATACCCCCCATGGGCATTACATTGGCATTGAATTGGGGTCGCTTTGGCATTGGTTTGGCATTGCGATAGCAAAGCTTTGGCATTGCGTTGGCATTTCGCTGGCGAGTCCTAATGGCTCCCTCAGCAGACGGACTCCTACTGAAACCCTCGACAAGAAAGATTCCGATTGAATCTTCCCACATGAAAGATTCTTAGTGAAGCCCTCCACATGAGGATCCCAATCGAAACCCTACACATAAGCATTGCTATCGAAATCCTCCGGAGAAGGATTCGTAATGACATCATCCACAAAGTGTTATTATTGAAATCCACCGTACGAAAGGATTCCCCCATTGGCATTGCATTGGCATTGGTGTTGGTTGGGAATGGATTTGTATCGCATCGGCATGCATTGGCCTGGTGCAGGAGATAGACAAAGAGCGAGAGAGCGAGAGAGAAAGAGAGACAGAAAGAGAGAGAGAGAGAACACTATATATATATATATAACGAGAAATTAATAGTATGAGGGGATCACGGCGAAAAGAAAAATGACCAAACACAATCAAAGTTTAAGGGTGTAAGAGCGTTTCACTAGATAGAAACCGTATGAACACGACGAGGGGCTCCACACTCCCCCGGCCTCGAGAACTAGAATCTTGTCCCCCCAGTGGAGACAAACCCCCATGTTGGTGCTGCTGCCAATTTCCAAGCGTCCAGCAGGGGGGGTGGGATAGGCTCAGGGGGAGACAGGCTCAGGGGTGAAGTTCCCCAATGCCTGCGACAGTGTTCGGAAGGCTTCGGGGCCCGCGGTAGTTTTCACCTGGTGCGCTGCGTTGAGGGCGTTCTTGGGGTGGCGAAATCGTCCCGAATGGCCGCCAGAGAGCCGAGGTATGAACGGAAAACGTGCAGACGACGAGGATCACTGCGGGGGATAGGCTCAGGGGGTATCAACCTCCAGTCGCCCACTGAACGTCAGTGGGCGTCTGATAGCCCCGCCCCGCACAGGAGCGTGCGGGCTCGATCTCGGGGGCCTATCGCCAGTCGATCGGCGATCTACAACCGATTCCAGGTCGATGTTTCCCCCCTCTGAGCCAGCCCCCCGTGATTGCTGCCTCTCAGAGGAGCGGCGCGCCGGGGAGGCGGGCCTGCCTGCGGTCCGAATTCGATGCGATGTGATTCGCCTGCGCGAGCCGCGCTTTCGGTTCGGTTTGCGTCGGCGGGGCCAGCTCGGAGCCCGACGCGGCGATCCGAATCCGACTCGATCCTGACGACTCGCCTCCGATCCGATCCGTCTGCGGCCCGAGCCGATGTCGCGATTCGCAGGCCTGCCTGCTCGAGAAGGTCCAGCATCACGGGGATGCCCTGGCCAGGATTGAGGCGCTCATCGGGCCAGGGGCTTCGCAAGACGTCGACTCCGTCGCCGAGTCGGCCGCCGAGGAGGATTGTGCCACGCGGCCACCGTTGGAGAAGTCCAGCACCGTTGGCTTGAGTGTTAGAGTTTCCTCGGCTCTTTTCGAGGAGGACGGTTCTTCCACGCACAGCCGCTGCAGAATGATGGCCCACCAACGCCGCCGATTCGCCGTGTGCACTTCGTGCTTGATAGTAGCCAACAGCATTTTTTTGGGGCTTGAGGCTAACGCAACCATAACCTCATCGGGCTTGACTACGCCAGATGGCATCGCGTGGCGACTAGCCAACGCCTTCTTCGCACTCGCGTTTCTGGTGGAGCTGATAGTCCGCTGGGTTTCCGACGGTGCCGCCTTCTTTTTGCTGCCCCGCAATCCGGACTGTTTCTGGAATTGGATGGACACGCTGCTTATCCTGATCACCGTTATCGAAGAGATTCTTCGATCCAGCTGCCTGCGGCACGTCCCGCCAACGTGCCAGCCCATCATTCTGGGTGGCGCCTGTTCGGGGAGGCATGGGAGGCCGGCACGGGTGACACCTCGTGTCCCCAGGTTTGAGAGAGCTCTGATGGGGTTGATGAGGATGAAGAGAAGGAGGAGCAGGAGCAGATGTGATACCTTTCGTCTTCACTTCTTCAACAGGTTTCGTGGAGCTCATTTGGGCTGTCTTGGGGCTATCTTGGGCTCCTGTGTGGCTCTCTTGGGCCGTCTTAAGGCCCTCGTAGACCGTCTTGCAGCTTTTTTGGGCCGTCTTGGGGCCTTCATGGCCGTATGGGAGGTCTCTTGGGGCCATCGAGGTGTCGTCGTGGTGCCGTCGATGGTCGTCAAAGGGCCTTCTAAAGCCAGTTTGGGTCTCTCCGAACTTGACTGCATGCCTCGTTCGTCTCAGAAGCTCGGGATCGCGATTCCACTGCTTTTTACGTTTGGCCGTTGCCTCGGGAGCGCGGGCACATCATATTTTTACGAGGGATCATGACCTCGGGAGGGGTGGGGGGTGCATGTGACAGTCTGCGATTAGCGGAGAGGCCTAAAATTGTGCACAACCCTACCAGACAGCCATTGAAATTTTATCATGCCTCAACGTGCCAGACGGTGCGGTGGCGGATATTTTACAGTCGACGTCATTACCTTTGGTTTCCTGCGTTTATCTCGCCTGCTCAGGGTGACCCGAATGATGCGCGCCTTCAAGGTAGTCCGCGAATTCAAAGAACTGAAGATTATGGTTACTGGACTCTTGAATTGTGCGAAACCCCTTTTCTGGGCTGGGGTGCTGCTGGCGTGTTTGACCTTCATGATCGGAGTTCTGATAGCTCAGCTTCTGACGGAGTATTTGCGTTCAGTCCAGGATAGAGACCTCGACGCAGAGGACGCGCATGCGATCAACTACATCACACGGCACTTCCCGAATCTATGGGAGAGCATGTACTCGCTGTTCGAGGCCCTCACCGGTGGACGGGACTGGGGCGAAATTGCGCGCCCCTTCCGGCATATACATTTTGTATTGACGTGGTGCTTGGTCCTGTACATCGTCATCGGGATTTTCTGCATTCTCAACCTGCTGATCCCTTGGCAGGCGCCGTACCGCCGATCCCTCGGGGGCCCTTGCGTGCCTCTCCTGGCACCGCTCGGACGTGTGCATCTGTTCCTCGGCGGGGACCATCGACGAATCCATAGGGAATGTTGAGCATGGCCACTTGTGTTTTTTCGTATCGGGGTCGATCATCTTGCAACCAATCGAGGAGCATTTTGGGCCGCTCTGTGAACACATTTGCGCACGAAGCCATCCAATGCACGGGGAGTGGCCGTGCGAGCGATGGCGAGCTCTTTTGGGGTGCGTTGTCGTACAACCTTGCATGGTGCTACACGACCACCTGGAAAGCCCCGAACCGTGCTCAAAGGGCCTCGTTCATGTGCTGTGTTGGGACGTCTTAGGGCTTTTCGGCGGCCTATCGTTGGCTTCTTGGGCCCTCTTGGGCCGTTTTGTGCGTTGGGAATCTTTCTGGGTTCTTTAGGCCCCCCAACTCGGGGGCTCTCTTGGACCGTCTTGGCGCCGTTCTGGGCCGTCTTGGGGCTCTCTTTGCCATCGTGGGTCTCGTTGACGGCCGTCTTGTGTTGTCTTTGGGCATTCTTGGCGCCTTTCTTGGCCCGTCATCATCGGGCGTCCTGGGGCCTGAAACGCTTCCAGAGCCATTGTTTACAGAAAAGCAGAAGTAGCGATTCCGGACGAACTGGAGGCATTCTCGGGGAGCTTCCTGGCCACCTCGAGCGTCTTGCGGCCGCCTGGGGTTTCTGGAGTTGTGGATGTGGCGACCAGGTTGGGAAAGCTTGCTTAAATACGGAATTTCTGTTTCTTGGCTAGCTCAGCGTCGCTGTAACCTTTCGGCCAAACTCCACGAGAAATCCGAGCAAGGTAACCAATTCGATTACCCTCGACTCGGTCAGCACACGGCTTTGCTAGTTCTTTTTGCTGCTGAGTTTCATAGAGCCCGCAGGCAGTACGGAACCAGACCCCCAGTCCCTCATGATGCCATATTATATGACTTGGATCCGGGAAACTCCTTGCTATGTGTACCCGCCGGCCTGGGGGGGTTCACATAGTGTCCCGTCCACGTGACTTAGATCAAAACAAGGGGAGGCTAACCAGTCCTTACGATCGGCTTGCGTGGTCGACCCGTTGCAACGAGTGCATTTGCGGCAGTGATTTTCACTCAAGACATGCTGAGACGAGAATATTGCGCATACAGACGGGGCTGGAGGCCTAGGCTGGGCACGGCGGGCTGCTTTCCTACCGATGTTTTTCTCAAACTCTCGCTCAGTTGCTAGTGTCTCGATCGTGCTCTGGAGAATTCGCATCCTGACAAGAAACGCTTTGTGTTCGATGGCATGGACACGAGAACGACGATTTTCTGGCAACCTCACAGCGTCGGCCCCAAGGGCGGCGAAGGCGTCGGCCATCGCATTCGCCGAGACGAGGAGCCGAGGCGCTCTGCCCCGCAGGTACGGCGTTGGCCTCGGGATGCGAGCTCACGAAGAGGACCGCGCACTGAAGCCCAGGATGTAGCTGCAGGTGCTGGCCGATCTTCCACCAGAGGTCGCCGACGGGTCCCGCTGGCTGCAGGCATCGTTCGTTGTACCAGCCAGTCAATGATGACGCTCTCGTGGTCCGTCGTGTAAAGTGGGGTGTCCTCGGCTGCCCCGCAGCGCAGGGGAGAACGCCAGCAGTTCGCCTCGGGTGACAATCCGGCGAGGCCCAGGAAGCCCACCCCAGACGCCAAAGACTGGCTCCATGTCATTCGTGAGCCTCGGGCCCCTGCTCTCGTGCCCGCCGCTGGCGTCTCCGAAGACGTACAGCGGGTGCTCCTTGGTGCCCTCGCCGAAGCAGCCGTCGACGAATTCATCGCCCGTCGTGCTCCGGATGTCGTCGCTCTGCGGAGCCTCCACGCTCAACCATGCTGCTGGGATGAGGCCTCGCGTCCAGAAGCACGCATCAGCCCCCTCCCCCCTGTGTGTAAGCCTCGCCCAAACACTTGTTCTCAAACTACACATCTCGTGCTGACATTTGCCCTCGCATGCCCACACACGGTGGAGTGCTGTCTCACGATGGCCTCGACCACGAATGCAGTCCAATGGCATCTCCTGCTTAGCTCTCTCCTGGCGTGGAGTCCTGGTCCAGGTGGCGCCCACAGCGATGGAAAGCATGAGGCCAGCGAGCCGTCGCCCTCCTTCAGCGCCTTCGAGCTGTTGCAGGAATCGCCTGTAGGACCGATTGCAAGCTCCTCCTTCGAGTCCAGATCCCTCGGAGTCCAGTCCTTCGAGTGCAGCTTGTCGCCAAAAGCCAGCCTGCACTGTGTGCTCATGTTCCTCGAAGGACTCTTTAGGTAAGTCGATACTCTCGACGCCCGTGCGTTTGCTTCTCGCAAACCGCCAGCTGTGTTCTGACCCGTCTCCAGTGCCAGGTGTAACCCAGCCCGTTGGCGAATCTGACCTCCATCTAGCCTGCAAAAGGTAGCAGATCACCACGCCCTGTGGCCCACGAGTGTGCCACGCTCGCTGTGCAGATAGTACTGCAGCAAGATCGCGGACCAGAGCTGGCCACATGCGAGTAATGCCGTCACGGATGCTCGGCTGAGGACCCGACACGACAACCATAAACGAAGGCATTCCTTCAGTAGCTTGCATGCTGAGTCCCTGCCCACTGCTTTCAAGTCAGTCAACGTTGTTAGGCATCGACCTGACAGTCGAGGACCGAGCGCGTTGCCTAATTTCCTGCGAAACTGAGTCACGGCATCACCGAAGACTCTGTGCAACTGGCGCCAGTAGGCATCGGCTGCTTGTGCTCTCTGCTGCTCGAGCTGTGACGTCATGCCATATATCGTCGGGTGGCTCGTACATGACGCGCTTGTGCATGGCTGGATGCTTGGAGTGCCTCGCTGTCCGACAAGCACGCGAGTGACGAGATCCTCTTCCCAGGTATTTCTTCCCAGGTACCCCCCGAGATAGGGAGCTTGAAGGACGGCACGGACTACCTATCCGTTAGCACGGACTCGTCGAACAATTGCTCTTGTGTCCTCCAGTCTTGTGCAAACAACAACGCTCTTCGGCGAAATGGACAATCCCGAGCGTCGCACAGATCGACAGGTATCGACCAGGCATCGCACTAGCTTGTCTCTCATCGATTGCCGTGAGCTCTTGACCGGCTAACTGAGGTCGTCAATCCAAAGCCGATGCGACATGCCCACGTGCACCGTCGTGAGCCCATGCATGGTGTGGTGCGTGGCGCACTTGGCGAAAAGCGCGTGCCTCCTCGGAGGCCTTGCACCACTGAGCGAAGTGGCGAGCATGGCTCGGAGTATGTGCCAGACGGCCTCAAACACCGCGCCGCCGTGCACTGCAGCAACTCCTACCCCAGCACCCCCGCTGGGAGATCGAGCCGCACGGCAGCTTTCCCGACAGTCAGCCGCCTGATCATGTCGTAGAATTAACCTGTGTCCAGCAGGCCGTAGCGATGGTGGATTCGGAGCCTCGCTGCGAGCTCCTCGTCGATGGCACGCATGAGCACTTCTCTGATCGCTGCTTGTCCTTCGATGGCCGCATCCCAGTGCGCTTCGCACTCGGATGTCCACTGTTTCACATAAGGTTCGCGAACCTGTGACCGCACTCATGAGGGATGTGGCATCAGCCCTATTATCCTATCTCATGTCACTGTCTTTGGAAGAAGAGTCCCGATTGTGAGAAGGACTTGTTGCGGCCAGGTCAGGGTGGCCTCTGCGACGCTAAGATGCCATCTTGCAGCGCCTCGTCGGGGCGACAGAAGATCATTACAGCTCAGGCGATCCGCTTCAATGGCTGCCGATGCTTCGATCTTGCCCAAGGCAGTTCTCAAGTCTGCAACTGTGAGCGGGGGCAGCGACTCCGTGCTGACCACTTCGCGGATTCCTCGAAACAGAACTTCAAGTTCCCCGATCTCGATGCTGTGCCGCCAGCTGCAAGAAACGCTGGGGCCCAGACTTTCTTCCATTCCTGACTCTCGTGGTCCAGCGCATCGCGCGGGTGAAGAATAGCCTGGCCGTCGACTACGACGTCCTTCACCTCGGGCATGGGGTCCTTCAGCCTTCGGCTGGATACGTTCCAGGCGGAAGTCGTATCATTCGCCAGTCGGTTGCCCCCCTCCCCCTCCTTCCGTCCTTGTTCCTTCTCCTATCTCTCCGCCTCCTCCTGCGCGCGAGGTGTATCTGCAGCTGCCTTCGTGCCGCCGCTCCCTCAAAGCGGTGAAGTTCCCCGACCCGATAGCCCGCCCCCGACTGCGATTGACAAGTTGCTCGGTTGCCTGGGAATTGACGTTCAAGACAGCAAGCTCGCTCTCACGTAGGTGGCCAAGTGAGTGCGTCCAGTAATCCCAGTCAACGCGGTCAGTTGGGCGCGCGATCTGAATTGCACGCTCAGGGCCGTCGCCCAAAAGACGCCGGCCTTCCTCAGACAAACTACTAAACTGCTTCTCTCCTCCACCTCGCCGAAGGTGCCGTGAAATGCTGGTGATGACTGTGCTGGCCCTTGTCCACCAGCTGCAAACTCTATTACGTAGTGGTGCAACTCGAGACGGAGTCGCCTGGTGCACACGAGCTAGTTGAAATTGAGGCGCCTCGCCGCGTGACGCTCCAGAGAATACCTGCTTATGATGAGTGGGGTAAAGCACGCTCGACACAGCCGAACTGCCTGAGCCGAGGTGATCGTCCATGGTGCGCGCCATCGCAGCAGCAGGAGGGCAGGAGGAGAAGAGTGAACCCGACGCTCTGTCTTTGCTCAAGCCAAGTGCTGCTGGGAATGTGAAATCAGGGGGCCACGCCTGTGCGTCGGACGGCTCGTCGGAAGACAACCTCTGGGCGGCTGGGCCTGGGGTGATCGTCGGCTCACGCAGGACTGAATGTGTTGAGCTACTTGACGGTCTGACTGTTTTGCCGTTGGCACAGGCGGGGGCGGCGGAAGCAGGCGGGGCGGCGGGTTTTGCAAGCTGGGCTACTCCGCGCGCGTGGTGCCGCCCACCGCGCACACCGCCTCCTGAGTGGCCATGGACGACGCTGTCCGGGCTTGCCTGGAGCATTTAAGCGGCTGCTCTCCCTCAGACGCCTCTTGGCAGCAGGCTCAGCTCAAGCTCGACAAGGGAGGGCTCGGCCTGCGTTCCGCCGCGCAGCACGCCGCCGCCGCCGCCGCCGCTGCCTACGTTGCTTCCCGAGCGAAAAGCACAGACCTCTGCAAGCGGCTCTACCCCAGCTGCTCCAACAGCGCTGACCACGACGGAGGTGGCCTGGCGGCGGCGGTGCAGGCCCACAACGCAGTCGTGCGGGACGCCGACAAGGTGGTGTTCGACCACGCCCAGCACAGCAACCAGAAAGCCCTCTCCGACGCGGTGGACAGCGCCACGCTCGAAGGGCTCCTGGCGGGCTCCACCCTGGCCGGCAAGGCGCACCTCTCCTTGGTGCAGGCCCCGGACGCCGCCGCGTGGCTCCAGGCGCCGCCCTGCGAGGCCACCGGCACCGCCTTCCCGCGCGGTCTCATGCAGGTCGGCCTGCAGAGGCGGCTGCGAGTCCAGCTCTTGCAGGAGGAGTGCTTTTGCCCAGCCTGTGGCGAGGTGATGGATGTCTACTGCGACCGCGCCTTGGTCTGCGCCTGCCGCGGCGACAGGACCAAACGCCACAGCGCCCTGCGCAACCAGGCCTTCTTCGACGCCCTGGCCGCTGGTCACGCCAGGGCTGAATTGGAGCGCCCGGGGCTGCTATCCACGCGCCCCGCCGGGGAGGCCACCCCCGGGGGCGAGCAGGGCGGATCCCAGGTGGACGACAAAGGCCGCCGCCCCGCCGACGTCTACCTGCCGAGGTGGCGCAACGCACGGCGGCCGCCTGGGACTTTGCCGCCGCGTCCGGGTTGCGCGCCGATCTTCTCGCCGCGTCGGCCGCGTCGCCCAGCGCGCCGACGGAGCGATGCGAGAAGTTCAAGAGGCAGCACCAGGACACCGCGCGGCTGTGCGCGGAGCAGGGCTTCACCTTCATCCCCTTGGTGGCGGAGGCCCATGGCGGCGGGTGGGGCAGCGAGGCGCGCAGGGCCTTCGGGGTCCTGGCCAAGCGGGTGGCTGACGCCACGGGGGGAGACGCCGCTCTGGCAGCGGACCAACACGCCCAGCGACTCTCCGTCTCCCTGCGCAGGGAGAACGCGCGGGCGGCGTTGCGGCGCCTCCAGACACAGTCTGGAGGGGCGGGAGTGGTCGTGGCCCGCCTGGCCGCGGCCACGGCGGCCTCCACGGTGGACGCCGTGTGAGCGCCGCCGGGCGCTGCTTAACGCCCCCTGCCCACTGTCCCCGCCGTGGCTGGGCAGTGCGGGCACCTGCCCCCTCCGTGCCCCTTCTCGCGGATGGCGTGCCGGCGCCCCCCCGCGCTGCCGGCCGTCCCTTCTTCGGCGGGGCGGTGGGTGATACCGCAGAGGTTCCCTCCCCGCCAAGCCGCAGCGTGCTGGGTTCGGTCAGCCCCCCCCCCCCCCCCGACGCCCTTTCCGACGCCCTTCCCGACGCCTTTCCCGACGCTTTGCCCGACGCCCACGGCCGACCCCGCCGACGCCCTTCCCGACGCCCTTACGCCCACGACCCCCCCCGACGCCTTTCTCGACGCCCACGCCGATCCTCCTGTCGCCGCCGTAGTGTCCGTAGGTTCGTCGCGGGTGGCCTTTCCCTCCCGGCCCCTGGCCCCCGCTGCTGCTGCTGCTGCTGCTGCTGCTGCTGCTGCGGCTGCTGCTGCTGCTCCTCCTCCTGCTCCTCCTCCTCTTCCTCCCCCCTGCTTTCCGTCCGCTTTTGCTCGTTGCCTCCTATCCTTTCCTTCCTCCTGCTCCCTGCCTGCTGTTTCCGCCTGGCCCGTCTTCTGCCTGCCCGCCCGCCCCGCGGGCCCTGGCCTCCCGCCTGGGCGTTCGTCGTCGTCTGCCTGCTTTTCCCCTCTTCGCCCCCTTCCGCCGGACCGCGCAGCCTGCGCAGAACCAACGTGGCGGCATGTAGGGTTTCGAGCAGGGATCTGCTGCTGCGGCCGCCCGCTCGCCCACGGGTCGTCCTCCGATCGGCCCTCCCACTCGTCCCCTGAGCCGGCGGGTTCCGCCGCCCTCGCAGTGGGTGTCCACGTCGCTGAGAAGAGAAGGGCGGGTGGGGGAGGCAGGACCGAGACCAAGATCTGAACCACAGTTGCTTGCGTCAGCATCTTCCGCCCCCGCTTCTTCAATGCCCAGCCCCTGGGGAAACCGAGATTTGGACCGAGCGTCCTGGGTTCGCTTGGCCTCCAACCATGAACTTGCCATCTTGGTCTTAGTAATGCTGGGCTTGGAGCCGGGCGTCGCTTGACGGAGGGCTTCCAGATGGGGTGGGCGAGTTTGCGAGGTCGAGGTATCTAGTGTGCAAGTGAGCCCCCTCGGAGACAAACTCGACACTCATCCCGATGTGAGATTTCCACGGCATGGCAGCGACTGCGAAGAATCGACGTACCTGGGTTTTGCCCGAATGGCCCACAATCGCAACATCTAAATGGCCAGGCGCGTTTCCTCCACCTGGCGTGCACGTGAACTGCGCATCCGAACAAACGATCTGTCCACCAACGCGCTCCAGCGATCCTGAACGAGTGATGCTTTCTGGGGGTAAGTTCCAATCGGATGCAACTGCCCAGGGATATTGCAATGAACGAGGCACCCATCCTAGCTACCTGAAACGCACACCGTTCGAATCTCTAAGTCCTATGCCTGAATGCCCATCGAAACTGGAAACGGCCAGGGGTAATCCACGCATGCGGAAGATGCGCGGCATGAACCCATCGTGCACGGTCCCTTTCTCTGCGCGGAGGCCTCTAGCAGAACGAGCTTCATCCATGAGTTGAACTGGTCGGTAGTTGCGAGTGAGGACCCACTCGCCGCCCTCGTTGCTGTGACTGTCCATTTGCTCGTCAGGCTTGATCCACTTGGACTTCGGCCGAGCAGGCTTGGCGAACAGCTTCAGCGATGCCTGTCGAGCTCGCGATGCCCACGCAGCAACGCCTTGCTTTCCCACGTGTGTCGCACACGGCAAGGTAGTGGTGGCTGGGTGCCAGCGCCGTGAGAAAGTTCCAGGCCTTGTCGCCCCTGCAGGTGGCGTTCGAGAAAAAACATCCTTGTAGTTGTAGCGCCAGTGGTGTCATTGGCAAGCTCCCTCACGTGCTGATGCGCTGCGGTAGCGTCGGCATCTCCTGAGTCTAGTCATTCCTGATCCGCAGCAGTCGCCTCGCCTGCAGGCTTTGCGGCCGCCTTGGCAGAGGCGCCCTTGCCTGCCGCCTTGGCCGCCGCCGCCGCTGCGAGCCTCGCCTGGGAGAGGCGATCGGCCTCCGCCTTGAGCTCCGTCTCCGACGGCGCCGCGGCGCCATGGGCGCCGCCCGCAGGCGGCGGAGGAGGGGCTCCGCTGGCGCGGCCACTGCCCGGCGCGGCCTCGCCGCCAGCAGCGGCGCCTCCCTCCTCCGTCTTGCGCTTCTTCTGCATGGTGTCCCTGTCGTCCTCCTCAGCTTTTGCCACTCGCTCTAAGAACGCCTGCAGCTCCGCGTCCCGTGACTCGAAGCTTTCTTTGTATCCTTCGGATTCTGCTTCGAGTTTGCGAAGAAGCTCCTCGTCGGGCTCCTCCACGCCCCGATCCTCGTACTTGTCGAAAACCTCTGGGTTACCCTGGATGCTGATGGTCGGCTGCGCGGCGTGCCTTCTGGGCCGCCAGCGGCGGCCGCCTCGGTGCCGCGAACGCACTCGGCCTTGGCGAGAGCGGCGGCGGCGTCCTTCTTGGTGCGCTCGGCGAGCGCTGGCTCCTTGGACGTTGACTGCTCCTTGGCCTCGGCGGCCTGGAGCTGGGAGCGCAGCCCGAGGACCTGCGGCACCAGCTGCTCGTGCTTGTGGCTAGCCGCCCGCCACGCCCCGTCGGCTCGGCTGACCGGCTCCGCCGCCGTCTCCCCAGACGACGGCGGGAGCGAGGCAAGGCGGGTCCTCTGAGCCTCGAGCGCGACCCGCGTCTCCTCGTCCTGCGCCGTGCGCGGGGCCCTCTCCAGCGGGGAGTTCGGCTGCTTGTTCGCCAGATCCTTCGCCTTGCGCCCGCCTGGGCTGCGGGAGCGGCGGCCACCGCCACCCGCGCTGCCGACGCTGCTGTTCTCCCAGTCCGACTCGTTCTCGAAGTGAACCCGCCGATCATGGGGTTTGAGCAGCTTCTTGATCGGGTGATCGCAGTGCTGGCATTTCATCCCGTAACTACGAGTCTTGTCAATCGTATTCACATGCCCTGCAATGGCCGCAGCGCGTCCATGGCCTGAACGTGTGAGGCGGTGCCATCCCTGCTCACGGGGACACTCGTGAAACTGGCGGGGGCACGAGTGAACATACTCAAGCACCACTCGAAGGTACAGGAGATCACGTGTGGGCAGGTGTGAGACCCCCGCGCAACCAAACCTGCTCGTGCCGAAATGGCTCGAGTGCGGCCGTTTGGGGGCCTCCTGGATGAGTGTTGTGGAGGCCAGTAGGGAGGTTGTTTGACCGTCTTGCGCGATTCCGAAGGCCATCCTGGCGACTCGGAGGGCCATTTCGGGCCCTCTTGGAGCTTCTCGGACGCTCTGGGTTTTAGAACGCCCAGCAGCACCCAAGCACCAGCGCCGATCGGGGCCGACCCGGCCCCCTCTCGGGAGGGGCAACGATCTCACACGCCGATTGCACCCCAAGGGGCTGGCGGACTGCTGTCTTCCTGGAAGCAGCGCATCGCGTGGACAACGTACAAGAGCACGTCTATGCGAAGAGGGACTGGGTGAACGGAATTCGTAGATTTTTCCTGAATGCTCTCGAAGGCATCCCCCCATCTGAGCAACGGCTGGACAGTGCGACGACCCCAAGGGGAACGCCTGTGATCACGGAGGATGTTTTCGTAGACATCCTGAGCTCGAAGAGTAACGTGAAGTTCTTAGAGGAAAACGGAGTGGACCTCTTCTTGATAGGGGCCAGCCGCCTGAAGGAATTGTTCAGTATCATGGACAAGAATGGCAACGGCACGCTCGACGTGGAAGAGTTCGTATCTTGCCTCTACAATCTCAAAGGTGCTGCCACCGCCCTGGAACTGAAGCTGGAGCATCAAAAGATGTCTCTCATGATCCGCTCGTTGCAGGAGCAGCTGGTTCGCTACAACACCACCAACTCAAGAGCATCAAGAAGACTCACGCATTAGAGAGAGCACGCACAGCTTCGTCAGCGCAGTCGCAGAATCTGGGGCCAGATGGTGTGGTAGCAGCCCCGACGCAGGGACCTTGCGTGTCTGGAGTGTGCTCCCCTTCTCGCAAACACTCGGCGGCCAGCCTGGGGGGGAAGCGAGAGGGGGCGGGCCTTCTCAGAAGGCTCCGAAGGCCTCCGGCCTTCCGAGAAGTTTTTTGAAGCGTCTTTGAAGACGCAGGCAGCCTCTCGTGTTTTTTTTTTTTTGTCTTTACGTTTTTTGGGGGGTCTGGCGACGGTCCAGATGGCCTAAGAGGCTCCCAAGATCGACCCCCAGAGCGCCCAAGAGACCTCCACGATAGCTTCGCAACGGCCCAAGAAGCTCCAAAGACGGCCCTAGGAGGGCCCCAAGACGGCCCAAGACGCCTGATATTGCCTCCAAGACAGCCCCGAAGCACTCCAAGCGGGCTCGAAGACGGCGAAAACAGGCCTCAAAGACGACTTCCAGTAGCGTCCGACGGGCCAGGAACGCTCTAAGACAGCCGAAAAGGCCGGGGCGATGCGGAAAGATGGCTCCCGCGGGGCACGCGTGCATGGGTGCGCTAAACTCTTTGTGGGGCACGTTCACTCGTGAAGGGCTGCGCGAACATGCCCACTGAGGCCGCAGGTGGACCTCCTCTGGGAACGCCCCGTGCGAGGCATGTTCCGAAATGGGCGCGGGGACTCCATGTAAAGATTCCTATTCTGGGGCATGATTCGCGTGACAGGTGTGCCAACATGGGCGGGGGGGGGGGGCGTTGTACGAACCTTCTGGGTCTTTAGGTGGTGCTCCTTGTGGGCACGATCCACGTGATGGGGTGTGCCGCAATGGCCGGGGGGGGCGCAGTGCGAACCCTGCCTCTGGGGCCGTGGGTGGAGACCCCTGTGGGCCATGATCACGATCCGTGTGCGAGGTGTGCCGAAGTAGGCGGGATGGCGGGATGCGAACCTTGTCTTTGAGGCCGTCCGTGGATGTCCTTGCGGGCCCCGATGCGTGTGAGAACTGTGCCGAAGTGAGCGGGGCGATGTTCTGAAGCTCCTCTCTTGTGCCGCAAATGCATTTACTTCATGGTGCACGGTCCGCGTGAGGGGTGTGCCACTGTGCGAACCTCGTCTCTGGTGACATAATTAAGTGGGTTTCCCTGTGGGGCGCGATGCCTGCGAGGGGTGTGCTGGCATGGGCGGGGGGACCCTCAGCCAAGCCTGTCTGAGGGGCTCAGGTGGAACTCCCTGAGGGGCACAATCTTTGTGACAATTTATATCCTCCGATGCCGAACACTGGAGCTCGCTGGAACCTGAGCGCGCGAAGCGCGCGCGTGGTTCTAGTGCGTACATATATATACCACTGGTATCTAATGTTGTAATTTTGGAGGAAGCATGTGTGAACACGTTGTCGGATATCTTGCGCGACCGTCAAAGCCGGCTATACAGGAAGATTTGTTCGTACGACGCACGAGACTTTTTTGCAGGGTGTGGCCATAGCCCGGGTCATCGGGCTCGCCCCCCCCGCCCAGGATAACCGAACCTAGCCAGTTGTGCAGGTCTGGGTGGGGGCGCGCCAGGAGCTCGCAGGGAACGTTGTGTTCAACGGTACGGTGGTGGTCGCCACAGCATGATGGTGTTCTGATGCACGTTGGCGAATCGTTGGGGCTTGGAGTGGTGCGGGAAGACGACGACGCCGTCGTCTGGCGGCATCTGGAGGTACATGCGAGCAGCGCGTACACAGGCATTGCGTTGTGCGCAGGCAGCGGGGCGATTTGGTGCGCGCATTTGCTGATGTTGCAGCAGGATCTGTTGTGTGCGCAGGCGTTGTGGTGCACGCAAGCAGAAGTGCACGCGGTCGCGCGGTGCACGCGGGCATCGTGATGCACCAGGCAATATGGTGAAGACAGGCTTTTGTGGTGTGCACAATTGTTCCTGGAACATCCCTTATCATTCGCGCAGGCATCCCAGGCATGGTTGTATACAAAAGCACTGTGGTGCACGGTCATTGCGGTGTACCACACCTTGTGGTGTACACAGGCGCTGCGGTGTACACATCCGCTTCTGTGCACACATTCGCTATGGTGTACACAGACGTTGTGGGCCCAAGAAACGGGACCGTTCCCTGCGCAGGACAAATCAGTAATCACAAATAGCTTACCGATTGGGTCTGATAGGTTCGGATCCCCCCGCGATTTTCTGGAGTTCGGTCCCGCCGGGGGCCCTGGAAGTGCACGCAGTTTTGTGGTGTACGCAAGCACTTTGGTGCACTGGAGCTGTGGTGCACGAGTATGGTGCTGAAGCAGTAAACGTGGTGCACATAGGCGTTGTCGTGTACACAGGCAGTGTGTGTGGTGTGTAAATCGGCGCTGACGTGCACACTGCTGCTGTAGTGTACGCAGACATTGTGGTGTACACAGACGTTGTTGTGTAGACAGGCGCTACGGTGTACACGAGCAGCCGTGGTGTACAAAGGCGTCGTGGCGCACGCTAGACAAGCGTTGTGGTGTACTCAGACATGGTCGGCCAAAAACGGGGAGACCACACCCCGGGCCACAATTATCCTGGCGAAGGACCCAACCACATGCAATTGTGGGTACCGCAGTTGTGAGCCCCGCCTTCGGTGGATCTCCCTGTGGGACCACGAGCCGTGTGAGGGGTGTGCCGAAATGGGTGGCATTGGCGCCATGCGAATCCTGCCACTGTGGCCTTCGGTGGAGCTCCTTGTGGGGCCACGACGCGTTTGAGGGGTGTGCCGATATGGGTGGCGCTGTTGCATGCGGACCTTGCCACTGGAACCTTCGGATGAACTCCCTGTGGGGCCATGAACCGTGTGAAGGGTGTGCCGAAATGGGTGCGGCGGCGCCATGCGAGCCCTGCCACTGAGCCCTTCGGTGGAGCTTCCTACACGGCCACGAAACGTGTGAGAGGTGTGCCGAAATGGGTGCGGTGGCGCCATGCGAACCCTGCCACCGGCGCCGTCGGTGGAGCCCTTCTTTTGGGGCCACGAACCGTGTGAGGGACGCGCCCTATAGGTGGCGTTGACGCATGCGAACCCTGCCACTGGAGCCTTCGGTGGAGCTCCCTGTTGTGCCACGAACCGTGTGAGGGGTGTGCCGAAATTGGTGGCGCTGTTGCATGCGGACCTTGCCACTGGAACCTTCGGATGAACTCCCTGTGGGGCCACGAACCGTGTGAAGGGTGTGCCGAAATGATTGGTGTTGACGCATGCGGGCCCTGCCATTGGAGCCTTCGGTGGAGCTCCCTGTGGGGCCACGAACCGTGTGAGGGGTGCGCCTGAATGAGTGGTGTTGGCGCATGCGGACCCTGCTACTGGGGCCTTCGGGGGAGCTCCCTGTGGGGCCACGAACCGTGTGAGGGGTGGGCCGAAATGGGTGGCGTTGACGCATGCGGACCTTGCCACTGGAGCCTTCGGTGGAGCTCCCTATGGGGCCACGAACCGTGTGAGGGGTGTGCCGAAATGGGTGGCGTTGACGCGTGCGGAACCTGCCACTGGAGCCTTCGGTGGAGCTCCCTGTGGGGCCACGAACCGTGTGAAGGGTGTGCCGAAATGATTGGCGTTGACGCATGCAGACCCTGCCACTGGAGCCTTCGGTGGAGCCCCCCCCTTTGGGGCCACGAATCGTGTGAGAGGTGCGCCTGAATGAGTGGTGTTGACGCATGCGGGCCCTGCCATTGGAGCCTTCGGTGGAGCTCCCTGTGGGGCCACGACGCGTGTGAGGGGTGTGCCGAAATGGGTGGCGCTGTTGCATGGGGACCTTGTCACTGGAACCTTCGGATGAACTCCTTGTGGGGCCACGAACCGAGTGAGGGATGCGCCGAAACGGGCGCGGTGGCGCCATGCGCCATGCGAACCCTGCCACCAGGGCCTTCGGTGGAGCTCCCTATAGGGCCACGAACCGTGTGAGGGGTGTGCCGAAATGGGTGCATTGGCGCCATGCGGACCCTGCCACTGGAGCCTTCGGTGGAGCTCCCTGTGGGGCCACGAACCGTGTGAAGGGTGTGCCAAAATGAGTGGCGTTAACGCATGCGGACCCTGCCACTGGAGCCTTCGGTGGAGCTCCCTGTTGGGCCACGAACAATGAGGGGTGCGCCTAAATTGTTGGCGTTGACGCATGCGGACCCTCTCATTGGAGCCTTCGGTGGAGCTCCCTGTGTGTGGCCACGAACCGTGTGAGGGGTGTGCCGAAATGGGTGGCGTTGACGCATGCGGACCCTGCCACTGGAGCCTTCGGTGGATTTCCCTGTTGCGCCACGAACCGTGTGAGGGGTGGGCCGAAATGGGTGGCGATGACGCATGCGGACCCTGCCACTGGGGCCTTCGGTGGAGTTCCCTGTGGAGCCACGAACCGTGTGAGGGGTGTGCCGAAATGGTGGACATGCGGAGAACAGAGGCACGACGCTGAAGATGGCGATGTTGATGACGCCAATGACGGCGTTGGCGCTCACGATGAAGATCACGATAATGGTGGTGATGACGGCACAGGGAGAGAAGAGGCAGGGATGGGAGGACGGGGAGGGGGCAGCGGGAGGAGGAGTGACGCGGGGCGCTGTCTTTTCAAAACGAGGACCTAAAACCGCAGGATGGTTGGGAATAAACCAATAAGCACAACTAACTTACATATTGAATCTGATACTTAAGGCAGGGCACCTAGGGATTTTCTTGATTTGGGCGCCAGCGGGACCTTGGAGGTGCACGGAAGCGTTGTGGCGCAAATGTTCGCCATGCGCTGTGGTGCGCGCGGTTCTTATGGTGTGGACAAGCACCGCAGTGTACACAGGCGCTGTGTTGCACACGGCTTCTGTCGTGTGCACAAGCGTTGTGGTGTAGACATGCATTGTTGTGTAGACAGGCGCTGCGGTGTACACAAACATTTGTGTTGTACAAAGGCGTCGTGGTGTACACTTAAGAGGCACCGTGGTGTACACAAATATGGTCGGCCCAGAGTGGAGAGGGACCGTGCCCCGGGCCATAAA